GTAGTGGTACGTTGACGATCAAGTCTCCTGGAACCTTGAGTTACTGACAAAACTCAGAAATGGCAACTTAGTCACTACTTGATGAAGAGGGCGTATGGCGTACCGAAAAGCAAGGCCTCTGCATCGAGCTAAAGGCTGGAAACGCTAGGTCGGCCAACGCATTGGTTAAGGGATAGTATCTTCGACCCGAGCGAAGCTTCTTCTCGCGCAATACATCACTTGAACCATGAAATCACAGCATCGACAACCCGAGTCGGTGCATTCAACAAGCTAACATATGCGCACACGCATCTGCGTTTGACACCAGAGACGCACTATGTACAGCCTATCCGCATCGCTCGTCTGTTGATATTCGATTTCGCCCAGCCTTTGCACCACATGCATCGGATCTTCCTTCTTTACCGAACCGATATTGCGAATGGATTTATATACCCCAACCGACGAGTACCCGACAAGCCCACACGCGCCTACATTCGGTCAGTCGATCAGTCGTCAAGCATACCAAAGGGATACTAACCAGCAGCGGGCTTGAAAGCTGCATTCAGAACACCAGTCGCACATCCAGCAGCGAAACCTAGGACACCATTCTTCTCAGCGCCATCGATGGGGTTGATCACAAGATCCCTTATACCATCACTGAGTCCGTAACCAAAGCTCTTGAAGCTGACCAGCAGCCCACTCCTCAACCCAGTCACATTCTCATACTGCCGTACCTCCTCACCATACGCTTTCGGAAGGTTATGGAAACCTCGAGTAATACCATGCATAACAATCGCCGGGCTCTTCAGACTGGTGGTGATGATGCGTCCGAATCCTTTTGCGGTACCGAGGGCTACTTGGCGTGCCACATGAGGCGAGTCGTTGGTGTCGAGAGGAGGTGATGGGTTAGCAGTCCCGTCCCGCTCCTCTTTGCGTCTTATCTCGCGCTGCAGTAACATTGGTGTTGTTTGTTTGCCCAGTTCCACCGGACCTGCTATGAGGCCCAGCATGATTCCGCTTACCACATCGTAGGTAGTGAGGAATGCAGCGGATACCGGGTCGGTGGGGTCGTGCTTCATGTCGGAGTATTGAGATATGCTGTAGTGGGTGTCAGTGGTAGTCGACGTTTGCTGCATGGTGAGACTACTTACAGATGCAAGTCTTTGGGTTGAAGCAGACCCTCTTTAGTAAGCACCGCAGCCGCAAGCGGCGATAGGGCCAGGCTCTTCCGCTTTACCAGCCATACTGCTGGTCTGTCGTGAAGGATGCTACATGCTCGTACGCTAGCAAGGCTAGCCGTTGCATCAGCATCTGTGAAGCCATGTGTCAAGGCTGGAGGGGTTGATGAACGTGTATGCGATGGGTTGTCTTGGTCACCAACATCCTGTCGTATGTCATACTCGTGCTCTTCTTGAAGACTCCGCGATTCTGGGCTTGGAAGTGGATCGTATGCTGGTGACTGGTCTTGGTTGTGCTGCTTTTCGTTTTGTGTCGACTCCGCATCTACCGAGATTTCTCCGCCCGCGACCTGTTGAGTGTACTCTGGGAGATCCATGGTGTAGAGGTCGGCATTCTCCGCGGTGGGCTCAACGTGCACCAGAGAGGAGGCATCTGTGTCTGCGGCTGGATAGTTAGTACTCTGGTATGACCGTCCAGTGCTCGGAGTACTTACTAGCAGCACTCCGATCGTCCTCGGCCAAGGTCGTGGTTACGGCAGTCATCTTCTAGGACGTAGGTCTGGAATGGTCGAATTGCAGATTGCGCAGGATGAACTGCAAGCAGTATTACTTATGAGCCAACTTTGCCATCTTCAAGAGAAACTTCTCTATAAGGCCCTACTTCGTAGCCACGCGTGCGGAAGTCTTGGGTTTCCGAAACGGTGAACGCTAGGCCCGAAGTGGTAAACCTTGAGAAGGGCGCAGCAGGCGGCCTGACATGCAACCAAAACCGCCTCGGCGGCCTATCATCAAGGCCTTGAGATCACTAGCGAAGTTGAGTACTTGGTGTCATGCTTCTTGTGAGGGTGTACTTTGCGGGGATCGCAAGCTCTACCTGAACGCGTAATACCATGAGTATGTATTGATGTTGTGTGAATCAAGGCAATGTGAAGACTACGGCGAAGATTCGTTGACTGTCTTGGTATCCTAGATCCACTTACCCACGCGATCAGAGCGTAGGAGACATGCTTGCAAGGGGCTTTGACAAATTCACGCGTTCTATGGCCTCACAAGGCTTTTGAGCAATGCGAAAATATCTTGTTACCGACGGCGATACAACCAGCCAGTAATTGCGTCGAATTTGTAACTACAGTTTTAAAGGGTCGTGCTCATAAACATAAGCGGACAATTGAGGGTATTGCCCATACCGGTTAGGTTGACGCGTCAAGATGATGACGTAATGAAGTTTGCGCGTTCGGCATCGACAGAAGTTACACCAAACACGCGACTGCCTTCTTCCTCCTGCATGCGCACAATGCGATCTCCTGCCATTGTCACATGATCGCGATAAGCACCAGCAGCTTTCGACGCTTGATAAAGCGATGGATTAGGTCCCGCAAGCCACGTTTCAGCCCTCTCCTACCGCGACAGAATCCGCAAGCCATCCATCCACGCGACGCTATCTTCGCCAGATCCTGCACCTGGAAATCGATACAACCACCTTTCTGTCATCTTTGTGTTCTACCGTGCCACCGGGTGTTGTGCCGTTGGATACTGAGCCGTTGGATACTGAGCCGCCGGATACTGAGCCGTTGGATACTGAGCCGCCGGATACTGAGCCGCTGGATACTGTGCTCCTGGATACTGAGCCGCTGGATACTGTGCTCCTGGATACTGTGCTCCTGGATACTGTGCTGCTGGATGCTGAGCTCCTGGGTATTGAGCTGTTGAATAGTGGGCCGTCGGATATTGATCTGTAGGATTATTTGCATAGCCAGGTGCAGGGTGTTGACTGGAAGTGTGTGCGGGCCATTGAAGAGGGGGCCTCTGAGAACTCAGTTGTGTTTCGTCGCCGTCATCTAGCTGATCTCCGTTGTCAGGATACTGGTCATCGCCCGAAGGATAGCCATCGCGGTGACCGCTTCTTTCATGTCGGTTGCGATCGTTCCGATCGTCCCGCTGTCGATCTCTGTCATTGTCTGACATGCGGTACCTGGGTTTTGTCTCAGTATTTCGTTCGGACATCGATACTAAATACTCACGGGACGGGTATGTAATGACTGGTTGTGGCGTATCCAGTAAGGTGGGATGCGAAGTGTACAGCTTTCCTTGCACTATTGATGAGCATCTCCGCTTCTCTCGTTGACGGCACTTCCCAGATTGTTTTTAAGACAACGTCTTTGTTCATTCCCCAGATTAGCCTGTAATCGCTATTATAGTGGTCCGATCGCGTCCATTCTGAGCAGTGGAGCCATGTTCTCATGTCCTCGTCGACGTCCAGCGGTGGACCCGGATGACCCCACAGAGTTTCGAGAACTGTACCGTCGATGCCATACTCGTACTTATACCAACGGTCATAGTATGTGGAAAATGTCCATCCTTCGCCGAAAGGATGCTTAATCCCTCTATCTTCAGCCTTCCTGAATTTGGACCATACAAGTTCACGAGACGCGTCGTACTTGTAGAATCGCCTGTTTGAATTCGACCACGTCCAGGGTATCCGGGGCATCTGAGATCCCATCGCAATGGGTGGCGGAGCGTTACACGGGGCGCGCCCCGTTATATCGCCTGGCGGGGGATACAGCTCACGTGGCGAAAGGCAGTCGCGCTTGCAAATGACCTAAGGCTGGAAGACTGTGATTCGCGCTTTATCTGATGTACGGCATCATACAGATGAGGTACGTCTACCCGTTGCGACACCAGGAGTAGTTGGCTGGCTTACCTTACACAGCTGCCCACCTACTTCACAAACCGGTCAAGCTGAAATACGCTGCCGGAACTTCGAAGAACGTGTGTCATGCGGTCTCCTTGATGCCTGGCACGAGAGGGCTGTCCCGTTTTGCCGATACGAGAGGGCGCATCTTATTCGCAGAAAAACGCCTCTTCATGCACGTCTGAACCAACCCAGGCGGTTAGCGTGGCCCGGCTAGGATGCACATCGAGTAGTGCTGTAAGCATTCAGCCTTACTGCTACCTAGACATCCATCACCTTCTCGCGTGTTTCAGACATATACTACCGGTGCGTGTCAAGGTCAATCTTTCGTAAGGATAGGATAGTCTGCAACAAGCTCAACCCGAAGCGACCTAAGAGAGAACGCGACTCGAATGAAGCGAACATTCCGTGGATTATCCATCATCCATGGTACATCTTCGTTCACCGGATCAGTTACTCTGATAAAGCGTGTCATTTCTCGTCATCTCTTATCCTGAGTCCTTACACCTCTGAGTCTCGGCGCATTGTCGAGTGGTTTTGACATCACAAGTCCGACTGTTGTATTGCGTATTCACTGATGTCACTTCTGAGCACGCCGCAGACGGGACGGTGGAGGGATCATAGCGAGAACCATCGTAAGTATACGTTCGATTTGACGACCACATATTCACAAGCTACTAGACTTACAGACGTTGCAACACGATTCTTGGCGAGAAGCACAGTGGTTCAAAGTCGGCATTGCTATCAGTCTTACTCTTGCCTCGCCCTACGTACTACGAATCGTCCTCAGTACAATCACATGTGTCAAGCTCTACCTTTTCCCAGCGAAGACGCCAACTCACCGCGACGATGAATCCGCCCGCCACCTTGTTCCACCGAGGATTGTGAGCCCTACAAAGGGTAAGACAGGAGGATTGAGGTATTGGGTGGTTAGTCTTGTCGCCCAAGACCCTTGCTGGGAAGCTCGACATCGATTCTTTGGTTCCTTTCTCCTTGCATCGTTTTTGCTGGTACTGTATCAATCCATTGTGGGGATAGTCCTGACCGACAACGTCGCAAGAAGCAGATCTGCCTTGCTGAAGTCGGATACATGTGGCCTTTACGAATACGACAACGAGAAAGCCGGCGAAGAGGAAGCTTCAAAAGCAGATATGCTCATGGTGGGCAGAGAACGACGTGCAGCGGCCTATGCGCAGGAGTGCTATAACCACGATTCCGATACGAACGTCAAAGCCACGAATTGCGACTTCTTCTATAACTCAACCATCGGATATGGAGTGCAAGAAGATAAATGTCCCTTTGACAGGACCGACATATGCGTTGATGGCTATCAACCCGGCTCGGCTATCACTTTCGATACCAACTGGGTCAATTCAGGAGTATTAGGTATCAACGAGGAACTCATGCACAAATTCCGACGCAAAACAACTTGTGCGCCACTAAGCGCAGAGCGGCCTTTTGTGCAACACTTCACCAACAGCGGGACGGGCGAGTCCGGGTACAAGTACTTTTATGGATCGCTCTACGACACGAGGAACTGCTCGGACGAAGTGCATGCTCCTCCAACTGTGCTCTCCGAATACACTATGCGTATAACGGGCCATCCGTTTGACTGGCAAGCGCCAGTATACAAAGTCAAGTGAGTTTCCAGACAAACCAAGACTCAGCTGTTAGCTGTGCCTAACAAGCTCACAGTACATACGCCACCTCGTTGCTCGACCCGACATGCGACTTCTACCAGCCGTCACCCGATCTGCAAGCTCCAGGTTTATTGCCACACCGAAGCAGGACTCTGAGCCTCATCTTCGTGACAGCTCTGCGCATTCTTTACACCAAGCGCAGTAACGACCCCGTCTTCCCCGCCGACAAAGCCTTTCAGTACCCTGGAGACAAAGGGTTCTACTACTACAACTCGCAGCCAAAAGCACGAGCATTTGCCTGCATAGACGAGACCATCTTCTGTGCACCATCGGGCTCTCCATGCTGGCATGCGAACGACGCAATACCAGCTGGCGGGTCCAATACATCATCCTACTGGTTCTTGAAGTACGCTTTGAAAAGCTCAAATACCTATGATGCAATCAAACTGCGTCTCGGTAGCGGCCTACTAGCTCAACAGCGTGTTGGCCAGTCTCGATCGATGCCATTAGCTGACAATCATTGGCAACTGGAAGCCGAGCATCTCTTCAAGACATCTCTCGCAAGAGCTCAGTTTGACGCTTGGAGCATCGCAAGTGCCGAAGATCACGACAACCCAACATACACGGACACGCTTCCTGATGAGGCGAGGGGGAACATGTGCGGTCTCTTCAAATTCCAAGCCTCTGGCTACATCAACATTCGCATACTGCCATTTGTATGGCTGATGCTAGCCTGGCCGCTCATGTTGATCCTGAGCATCGAACTTAGAACTTACGAGAAGTTGGGGAAGGTTGCCATGTCGGAGGTGAGAAGAAAGAGCAAACAGTCGGTCAGGTCCAGCCCAGATGCAACTACGACAACAACAGACCTGGCTACCGCAGTTACAGATTCAACGACGCCAGACCACCCGCAAGAAGTCGTCGACTCGAATGCTACAGCTACTCCAACCCCACAGCGACCAGGCACGGCAAGCAGCACGACACCTCTCATCGCCGCGTCCTCGGCATCTGCATCGTCGGACGCGAATCACAACTACGGAACTTCTAGCACTCTGAGCAGTACGCCCTCGGATCGTAGTTCTGAGACCGACAAATCCGAATGGTCGCCTTTGTTGATACACGGTCCAGCTGTACTAAGTGTGTGGATGTATAAGAAGATGAGGAGCGAGAGAGTTGATGCAAGAGACAGCGGTGACACGGTCTGATAAGCGGACAATGGCCCTTCCAGGTCATGATCAAATGCGAAACGAGACACTAAGACGGACAAGCAGGCACGTACAGCAAGTAGACATCAAGATCGCAATCTCCTTTTAATAAACCATGTCTGGCTTTTATACTCCCATCTATCATTCAAGAAAAGGGACAAATACCTAACGCACCTCATCAGCGCGTAACATCTCCCTTCCCAAAAGTCGCACCATCCCTTTCGCCATTTCCCACACAGTAGTCTCCCTAACTCCAGCTGGCCATGCCAGGAAAACGCCCAAATGATACGCATCGAAGAAATGTGGAGGGACGATGATGTAAGACGAAAACCCAACCCATGATGATGAAAAACCCCATTAATCATTACTCAAGATATCCACCGGAAGCTACGTATCGGGTCGGGACTAACCGGCTAGGCCAAGTAGCCGAGCTCGTCTGCCTCCAGACGCTCCAGGTATTCCTTCTCGAGCAGGATGTCTATGCACTTCTTGATGTCGGGGACGCGGGGCATGAATCGGGTCTTGATCTGCTGGATGGTCTCCGAGACGAGCTGCTGGTGCTTCATCTTCTTGCGGGACTTCATGATACGCACGATAGCGGACTGTTGATATGTTAGCATGCTGTAATGTGGGCAAGAGAAGAGTGGTGAATACATACCTGAATGAGTAGCTTTCGGTCCTCCTCAATCGTCTTGTGCGTATCCTCCGCCTCGGCCTTTTGCTCAGACTTGATACCAATGTTCAAGTTCATCTTCACTTTCTTGGTCTTGAAGCCAGTGTTGAGCTTGTAGGAAGTACCAGACTCAGGCTTTGCGCCCTCGGGTTGGGCGAGCAGAACCTTGGCCTTGATGAAGACACCCAAGCTGGGATCAAGAGTCTCCTTGTTCAGCTTGGTGGACTCAGCAATGTCGTCGTAGGTGACGGTGTCACTGTCGTTGAACAGCAACATGATGGCCATCTGGTAGGTCGAGACCTGGAAGGTTGGTGAAGTCTTCAGGTTCGCAACCTTGCAGTAGTTGGCCTTGACCTCACCCTTGCACAGCTGCCATAACCAGGTAAGCTTACGACCTTGGTGCTTGTGGTTGTAGAAGCGAGAGAAGCGGTCGTAGGTCTGGACGATAAGTTGCGGTGGGGTAAACGGTGTGGTGGGTGGGTTCAGAGGCCAGAAACCGGTACCGAGAATGTGGTATGAGGCATCGACGTTGGTCTTCATGTCTGACTCGTCCAAGTTGTTTGATTGCCACTCCTTGAACGCGGTGTTGAGATCCTTGGAAATCTGCATATCCTGGAACATGCGTTGTAGCTTGTTGGTGTATTCGAAACCACAGGCCTCCTTCAGCTTCGAGATCATGCTGGTCTCGGCGTCGTCTGATGCAGAAGTAGTCTGGACTAGACGCTTGGCCAACATACGCGAGTAGAACTTCTGGAACACGTCCTTGTCTTCGATGTACTTGAAGACAGTCATGATCTGTGTCAGGAGCTTCTCCATGTCGTCCTCTTCGCTCATCTTGGCGTTGGAGCGCTTCAACAGAGTATCAGTGTACTTTGCGAGGAGCTCAGGCGACTTGTTGGAGCCAGATTTGCAGATCTTGTTTCTGTTGACGAACTCGCGGCAGGCGTTATCTAACGAGCGAACGAACTCTGACTCTCCGTTGAACGCCTTGTTGACGAGCGCCTGGTACTGGGTGTGGACCTCAAGAAGGGCCTCGACGTACACCTTTGGCTCCAGGCTGTCTCCATCTTGCGCGATCTTGTCAACTGCGGCCAAACCCGCCTTGCGGACGTGGTTCTCGAACCGAAGACGCAGAGGATCAAGACCCTCAGGAATGCGGGCAAGCAGCTTGTACATGCGGCCTAAGTCCTCCTCCTTGTCGTGGTCGAGAAGGATCTGGAACTCCTCGCGAAGTGCTTGCGAGTGGCTTGTGATGAGCGACTGTTCGCATGTCCGCATCAGAGGAGACATGATCTCGTTGAGCAGATAGAGTGGGACGCGCTCCTTCTCCTCTTCCAGACGGATCTCTGCCTTCTTCATGTATTCAACCACGCTGTTTTCTGCGAGAAATTGCTTGGACTCGTTGTCGTAGTATTGCGCGGTGGCCTCAAGGAAGGGCTTCTCGAAGTATTCCTTGTAGACATCCAGGGTGGACTTGGAGCTGTCGGCCTCGTCCAGACCCAGCGATACGAAAGAGTCGACGACCGACTTGATCTGCGACTGCTCTATAGTCTCGCCATTTCGCTGCTTCTCCACCAGCTTCAGGACCGAGCGCATGACGCTCTCCTGGCTGCCCGTGAACATGTCCTCCTTCCAGCGCACCAGGTGCAGTGTGTAGATGTCGTAGATGTGCTTCTTTCCCTCGTCCATCTCACGCTTGACCCAATGACGGTTCAAGTACCGGAAGAGATGGTTGTTGTACTGGCCAGCTGTCGTGTAACGGTTCCACTCCTTGATGTAGAAGTGGAGCAGCGCCTCGTCGACATGTTGCCGCGAAGCCGCCTGCACTTCGGAGAGATGCGCCTTCAGGTATTCGATCAGGTGCTGGTAGAGGTCCTCTCCGAGGAGATGGGCACCTCCGCGGTTGTTGGCGGCGTGGAACGACGAGCCGGCGACGGCTTTTTGGGCGGTACAGAAGTTGTGGATGGCGGTGTAGAGACCCATGTATGTCTTCATGTCGACACCTTCGCGCAGGTTCGTCATGATCTTGTCGACACCGGCTTCGAGGTACTTCCATCTGTGAGCTGTTAGCATCTGGTCGAGCTCTACGTCATCTTCAGGTTGGGGTAGCTTTAGTATAGCTTGTCCTATCATGGCTGTCTCCGCCTGCGCTCACCATAGCGGCGCAGCTTTCTCAAAAGCCGAACGCGGCGGACACCAGATCGCCATTCGAGACGTCACTGCAATCCATCCAGAACTCCGCAGCTTGCAGCGCTAGACAGAAGAAGATGCTAGGAGTGATAGAGAATAACTTACGTGGCGTTGACATCGTCCTTGGCCGGGACGGGTGGCATACTGGAAGACATGGTTGGTTGTGTCGTCGCGTGCTCTTGGGCACTTTTCTGAGGCGACTTCTTGCGCGTGAGGAACTTTATTGTCGGAACCGCCGTGTCACAGACAAGCGGATTGTCAAGCAACACCTGAGAGCGCGCTTGTTTGGTGTCCTTTCACAAGGGTGGATGGTGATAAAGGCGGGTTCGGTGGAGGGCGCGGTGAAGTGGTGGGGAGTAATGGTAGCGGGCGGGGAGGGCTTAAGATGTACCGAGCGGTCGATTTCCGCGGGTTTTGGTATGCGCCGTCAAGTTAGGCGACACACGGGGGAGAGGGAGAAGAGAAAAGTGAAGGTGCCGGACGAGCAAGGCGGCGACGTTTAGAGTCACGTCGTTGTCGGTTCATACAGTTCAGGCAGCACCGAGCTTGGGTCTTGGCGTTTTACAAGGGTCCCGTTCACGCAGCCTTGCACTAGCCTCCACAGTGCTCAACGCGAAGGCAGCAGAACCTTTGACAGCGAAGCATGCCAGCATTACGATTCTTTCGCTCACTATTCTTTATTCACATCGGATCAGCGGATTGTGCTGTCGGGTCATAATAGTGACAATGTTATGCGGGTATCACGATACATCTCATGCTGCTGCAGTACCGCTTATCACCATTTTCGTGTGTGGTTTGGGCTCAATGGGGGTCTCGCAACGTGGTACTCGTTATGAGGGATCCTAAAAGGCCTTTTTGGTTGGCTCCCCACGCGATCTATTTGCGCCTGTCCACGGTGAACTCTACGCTACTGTGGCAAATAATAGTGATAGTCACTTTAGGATCTTCAGCTATGAACGTAGGACTTCCACTACGGAGAAATAAGTACATGCTCATAATGGAACACCAAATCCACAATGGCAGAACAATAGACGTTCCTCGCAAATTCGTCCCAGCTTTTTGATCGATGACGTATTGGTGGGATCATCAGATGCCATCTTATATCCAAAGCTGGGATAGCAGTCTCCCTGCCAAAGTATCCTACGTCAATACCACTGGACCAGAAAATCCAGCAATTCATCTTGAAAACAACACCCCAAAATGCCATCTCTAAACCTAACCCCCCTCACCTCCCTCCGCCTATCAACCCACTACATCCCCACCCACTCCCTCATCCCCAACACAACACCCCACAACCACCCCCTCTACATCTACCACTCCGCCTTTCCTTCCTCCACCCCACCCTCAACCCTCGAATCCCACGTCCTTGCCAACAACCTCACTCCCCAGTGGCGCTACACAATGTACGCCACAACGCACTACCACAGCACCACCCACGAGATCCTCTGCATCTACTCCGGCCGCGCCACCCTCCTCTTCGGCGGGGAATCCAATCCAGGGCGGGTGGAAACAGAGGTGAAAGCTGGGGACGCGATTGTTGTGCCGGCGGGGGTGGGGCATAGGTTGGTGGAGGATAAGGAGGGTGGGTTTATGATGGTGGGGAGTTATCCTGAGGGGTGTGGGTGGGATATGTGTTATGGGAAGGAGGGGGAGGAGGGGATGGCGGAGAAGGTGAAGGGCGTGGCGTGGTTGGAGAGGGATCCGTTGTATGGGGTGGGAGGGCCGGTGACTTGGGGGAGGGAGAGGTTGGAGAGGTTTTGTAGGGGGGAGAGGAGTGAGTTGTGAGCTGTGAGGTTGACGAGGGAAGACAGTGTGTGTTGTAAGGAGTTGGAGGTGCTTGGACGGTGACAAGTCGCTCCGTGAGCTCGGAATGACGCATGATGATGTAGCCTGGAGGCCTTTGGTGTCTTGTCGAGAGACTTCTTGTGGCGGCTGATGTAATAAAGATCTCCCGGCTACCACTTCACCAGTCTGTCAACGAAGTGATTGATCTTATATCGTTATGTTCATAAAGCATCCAATCATACAGATGCTGACACTCTATGTGGTATAGTACATACATAGCCTCCAACGCCCATGCTGTTTATGAATCTTGAACCATGATATCGTACTTCGTCGGGACATGAAATGGGATCAT